TTTCCTGCCCTTTCCTTAAATGCGGTTTCCGCAGAAAACGATTCGCTAAGGTTTCAGTGTTTCGTTATTGTGAATGAAGTCTTCTTTTTTTCTTTTTTTTTTGTTTTACATGCCTGTATTGAGATTTTTTTTTTTTTTTTATAGCAATACGTTTGATTGAAACAATCCTTAGAGAGGAAAAGTTCCCTTTCGACTCTAAGGACCCGAGTGAGTAGGGAAAACTTCAGTAAACGTCCGAGCCCTCCACATGCTCCGACCAATAGAACTCGTAAAAATGGTGAAACAAATAAGAGCCCTAACCGTCACGAAAATATGGAGGCACGGTGAGTTTTAAGGTAAATGGCGATATCTCTGAAATGAGGGAGGGGCAAAAGGGCGAGGTCGGTAACAAAAACCACCAAATCCAACCATGCCCAACCAACACCTACTACCAACTCTAGAGATACCAACATCCAACATTTTAGACACAAGCGTTATGTACTGAGAGTTCAAAACAAGGTTATGTAGACTCCAGTTTTTAATCACAGTGTCATAGAAACAAGCGTAAGGTTTATGACTATACATTTCCCAGTCTCTCTACCGAGGAAATTAGAATCATTGAGGAGCGTACACTTTCATTCATCAAAAGCCCATATAGGTGAAAAGAAACGCAACCCCTGGAATGCGTTTTTTTCCTAATTCACTACAACGTCAATACGCGCGGGCTCTTCAAAATCAGGAAGCATAATTAATCGCACCTGGAACAGCCGAGACAACAACCATTCCCTGTTTGGCTCTCGTTAGGGGCTATTAAAGCGACAGGAAACAAACCGTGATCGCGGACGCGTCAAATAGAGGGCCACTTGTCTCTCGTTTCGGCGTCCATATATCTCAACAAAACAAGCACCGATTTGAAATCGAGTGTTTGTGTGGGATTACATCACTCGGGCCACCTTTTCATTATTTCTTAACACTTTACTGCGCGAGCCCATGAGGCGACCTTCCGGTAAAAGCCTGCCCCCCCCCCCCCCCCCCCGCCTTTTTCAGCTAAAAAAAAAAAAACTAATCGAGCAAAAAAAAAAAAAAAAAAAAAGAAAACCAACTTTATAAAAGAGTTTTTTTTTTTTTTTCTTTTAGAGCGGGCAGCAATACAGTAATTACGAGAAAGCAATTAGGAGTTCAAATTGGTTTCACTTTAATAGCAGATGAGAAGTTTGATTCTATTCCTCCGGTTTCTGGAGGTTCGGTCGTTGAATCTGGTTCAAAATGCGTATCGCGACCGGCTCTCCACGAGATGGCCGCTGAGCCCCGTGCATCTCATTCTCACTCCTTAGCCAATCAGACTGCGGCCTTAGACCAAAGCACCAATCGCGAAGCGATCCTAAGCTCTCCGTTTCTTACGCAGGCGAGGACAAAAAAAAAAAAAAAAAAAGGCTCGCTTTGGGGTTAAACATGAAATCTAAAGATCCGCTGCCGAGACCCGGCCATGGGGTTGCGTACAACGACGCGATGCCCAGAGGCGACGTAAAGGCCATCTCTCGCAAAATATTGAACGACGCGAAGCAGCGAGAAAGCGATGTGTGCCTGTTTCTTTCTCTTTTCCCCGATCCCGGATACCGGCGAGGGAACGGGGCTGGAGATGCTGTCACGACTAGACCATCTCTGTTATCTCGTCAGCCAGCGCGGTGTATTAGTTCTCTCGGCGGCAATCCCTTTCGCCTTTGTCAGGTTTCACTGCCGAGCCTCGGACTCCGAAATCCAGTCGCGAGGCAAGGATGGCTAATCTCTCACGAACGGTGCATTGCGCACGCCTTTCGAAACACGGGCCGTGTCCCTCAATGGCGGACGTCCTACAGAACTCGGGCTCCATAAGCGGGCTCGAGCCACGCTTTCGCCGAGTGACGTCTGCCTGGGAGACTCGTGCGATTTTGATATTTCCTACAAAATGTCGATGCTCGTAACATCTCGTAGCAGCCTGGTGGATCGCAACGTTTACGTTCCTCGCTGTCAATTACACGGCACCAGAGCTTGCTTCCTCTCAGGTGATTACATTTGGTGTCAAACCCTGAAGAACCAAACGAAGCAATCTCAAATGCTCAGTGTATGGACACCATCGTTTCCACTGGGTGGAAGCGCTTAATCACGGGGCTTAAGAATTCGTGCTTATACGTTTACCCATGAAAATAGCCGGATTGGTATTATTGGCCGAGAACATATTCCATTCTAAAGACGCTTAATAAGCGAGAAATTGTTTCTTTCTATGTATCATGAAATCATGAAGCGAAAAATCTATGCACTGCATGGCTCTTCAGGATACGGATCTAAATTTGATCCAGTGTCAGGATTAATGTTAGACGAGTATATTGGAGTCGTCAGGATTTAATATCCTTCAAACCGATTGTTGGCTTTGACTTTCACCTATCGCTATTGCGCCATGTGGCCATCTTCTATTGTTCAAGAGCCTGAGTATCCTAAATATTGGGGGGAGATACTTTCGGAGGTCGCTTGCGATGAAGGAAGCCATGGTTCTCGCGTAAGATCAAAGGGGGGTCAGCGGCATCGTGACATTCGTCTGTCGTGCGACTAACGTTTGTACAAATAGGTCTTTATGGTGCAACGTTTTTTGCCCGAAGGGCTGGGCGCGCGAAATTATGAGCAGAACAAATAAATCCCTCGAGCCGTTTTTAGGTGAGTGTCGGTAATTAGAAACTGAATAAATAGGGGCTTTTAATAGACCGTACGCTAGAGCTTTGCTTTGCTAGAGGGAGCTCGTGCCCCCCTCACCTCGAAGCATGTGTATGGAGCACGCGCCCGGCGAACACGCTCTCCGCAGCGTACGATAGTTTTGAAAGATCGTGTTTTCGCGAAACGCTATTGGTAGCGGAAACTCGCGCTGACACTTGATGCACACTCTGAAAGCGCGTGCCCGCAGTTGCGGGCCTTCGAAAACAATCTACTATAACTATGTACTTAAACCCTATCATAGAGCTTTGCCGGGCATGTTTCTTAAGTTTGGACAAAAATTTATGAACGTATTCAAAAACAAAATTTGAATTTGAATAAGATTAAAGCTCCGATTTATATGTATATAAAACAGTAAGGAAAAAGAAAATTAGCATTACATTTTTGCGATCGAAGGACGAGCCCGTCATGCTCCGAAAAGTAGGAGAACAAAGTCCTGCGAGGTGAATATCTCTCGAGGCAAAAATAACCTTTAGTAAAGGTGGCAAAGTACGCGCCAATATATGACCAAGTTAGGACCAAGTGACATACAATAAAACCTGCCGTCAGAAGCGCGAACTTCCAGTACCTTCATAGTGTTATTGCGATCCATTTTGTCAAAATTTCTACTGCCGCAAAGGCAAGGAGCCCGAGCTGAGATCCGTTCGTTGCTCACGCTGCACGAGCGTTAGCGCAGTCTTGACATGGTCAAAAGCATTCGAAGCAACGAGGTCGCGCTAGTAGCCTTTGTAGCAGTTCATGCTAACTTGACACTAAAGGCCGGTTCAGACACTTGCGTTTGAGTGCGTCTGACTGCGTTGCGGCTGCGAGAAACCAGGACATCCCTGCTGCTTATATCGCGTGACAAGATAATTCTTTGAATTGGTGTCCACGCTTTATACGAAGCACAGATGAGCCGGTGACTCGCTTTCGGTTCTCGACGCAACGCAGTCAAACGCACTCAAACGCAGTCAAACGCAACTGTCTGATGCAGGCTTTACACGTGTCTGACAAGTGCCTACGTACGGCGTAGATACACGGAATGCTTTGCTTCTGCGAGAGCTTGCGCGGAAGACACTGCGAAATGCGACGCGTTCGCGCCCGTGCCTTAACCAGCAATGTTGTTTTGTAAGATGAATAATAAAAATGTGGAAAAAAAAAGAAATAAAATTAAAAGACCCGTTTGAGTAGCGTCTTTTGTTAGGGTTGACAACCTCAGGCGAGTCAAAACATCCACCAAAGTGGACGTTTCGCTTGCATGCTCGTACCTTCCGAGGAAACAACGGCTCAAGTGAAGTGCGCCGTGTGTACATGGGTTGGCTGCACCTTCTTTTTAACACGACGAACGTTCATCGGGACGTCGACCTTTCAGCTGGGGCCTTCCTTTGCGATGCTTGTTTTTTTCACGTTACTGTTTTTTCATGTTTTTTTTTTACTGCATTCATGATTTGTCAATGGACGTGTGACGCTGTGTTTACATTTTTTTCAATATTATACTCGAGACGGCATAACGTAAGAGACTCGCGCGTTGTTAAATTTATGGACAGGCGAAAATAGAACGAAATAAAAATAAATATAAACAAAAAGGGAAACCCCGGCTTAGTTGAGTGAATCTGGTAAATCAGCTTTGTTATTTCTGCGAGCTATATTTGTGCGCTCAATTTCGTTGGAGCGCAGAATCATGAGATGAAGTTATATGAAGTTAATGCAAGGATGGGGGCAGACAAGCTGGTTAAGAACTGACATTCCTTAACCCTAGAGAGTGGGGAAACAAAAGGACAAGAGAACACGAATCTTCAGAAAGAGATTCGTGTTGCCTTGTCCTTCTGTTTTCTCACACTCCAGGGTTAAACAATTAAGTTAAAGATCCCTTAGCTCAAGACCCCAAGGCAAAGCGTTAGACTAAGGCGGCCCATGAAACCCTGTGTTGCAGACATGGTCGACAGTTATGCACTGCAAAGTTCGAGCGGTCAAGTGTCACTGTATGCGTTTTCTTTCTTTTATCGAGCCTCGGGTTAATATCACAATGGCGTTACAGAGTTAGTGAAAGCAGGGAATTACACCAGATTCCTTTTTTTTAATTATTTAATTCGGCTATTTGTAGGGGTAGCCGCTCTAACTGCACGGTTACTGTTCAACCTCGTGGTCAGTAGTCGGTTGGCAAATGACCGCTGGGCGTCTGGTGTCGTGGTCCTGAGGTGGCGTCAAGTTGTGAGGGAAGACGTGCTAAATACTCCCAAAGCACACAAAAAAAAAAAGAAAAAAAAGAAAAGCTATGACGGGGTTGCTCGGACAATTACCTGGTAATGGCCACCTCTCCAACGACAGCCAGGAAGAGTAAGAGGGTCCACGGAAACCCGTGGGCAGACATGGTCGACGGTCCCGCGACGCAAGTCCGAGCGGCGAAGTGTCACGTCTCCGAGATTGGCGGCGTCGATCCACGTCGGCGGCGTCTGTCAGTGCCGTTCCTGCGCACAGTGTCCCCAGGGGCACGTTCACTGGGGTCCAGTTCCGGCAGTCGTCCGTTATATAAGCTGCTACGTCACGGAGCCGAAGCACCTGGTGACGTCGCCGCATCTTTTATCTCGGTCCCATGGGAGGCTCTCTCGCGTCTCCGTGGCGGCTCATAAATGTGACGCGCCGTGCCTCCGCCGACGCCGCGGGCGCTTCTCATCAGCGCCGCTGCACTGCGGTGCAAGGCAACAACACTTGCTGGCGTTCTCACGGCAGTGCTGCCTGCTTCTCGGACTGATTGCGCGCTGAAAGCGCCTCGGCATGTCGCTCATTGTTTACATCGTCGTTTCTTTTTTTACGTCTGTTTTGAGCTCCCGAAATAGCGACTCCCCGGCAATAGATGCGACCGGCGCGAAATCGTCGTCGGCCGCTGCGAACGTGCCGGGTGCTAAAAGATCCTCGACCATCGAGCCCAACGCGAGTTCTGTGCCGAGCGCGCCCAGGGAGCTCGTCGTGATAGAACCGAGATTTGGACGAGCGGCTGCCAAGCTGCGGGTCGGGGCAGAAATGTGGGGCCGGCCCATTTGTATGTGGGTCCCGTTTTATAGTCGTAGTGAAGGCTCCTTCGACAGCATCAAATGTCTTTGTTAGCAGATATCCAAACTACGGCTCTGCGCGACGATGATTTGGCGCACTCTAAAATGTCTGGTGCGTCTACTTTCCCGTAAAGCACTTAGGACGGCCAATCGCTGCAATTTACTCGGGGAGCTCTGCCATTGACGAGGCTACCTTTAGACACGAAACAATGTACGCTGCAGCACTGATGGAAGCACACGAAACACAATGCTCAGTGTTTGTTTTCTTATGACTAAAGATATTTCGAGCCTCATTATTCAGCCTCCAGAAACCTTCAGAGATTGGCTTCAGCGCCGTTCACACACTCGAAACCGTGAAGCACCGAGATAGACAATACCGGTTTTTAAGCCTCTTGCGACGGCGAAGGACCCGCTCCGCGGCAGCGCATTCTGTCCTACGCCGTCGGAAGATGCTTAAGAACCGGTATTGTCTCTCTCGGTCCTACACAATTGCAAGTGTGTGAACCGCGCTTTACCCGAGTGCATTGTTCGGAGACACGCCCCATGTCTCAAAGTGTGCATGCTCTTTCAGAGTTGAATAAAGCCGTTTTCTTCGCCCTTTCTTTTTATTAATCGAGCGCCAAGAAAAATTTCGGAGTACACGTGCTGCACCTGCTCGCCTTATCTCAAAACATAATAATAAGGTTTTGAAGAAGGCACGTACAAAGAGTAATTTGTTTTTTAAATTTTTGCTCTAGGGCGATTTCTTATGCAGACGACATCACGAGCAGGGCGCCTAACTACATTCACAGCTTGCTCCTTGGTGCTTGGGTAATTTCGCGAAAGGTCTGCTTTTGCGATGCAATGATTGCAACAAGACTCGAAAGATGGCTTCACTATCGCTATATTGAAAGCGGTATAGCAAGAACTGACGGTGTTCATAATACAACCGCTATTTCGATGCACGTTAGAAACAAATGACAGATGGATATTATTTCACGAGGGGAAGCGTTGACAAAAAGCGGATAGTCGTAAAAATGCTACATTTTCTGATTGAAATTTCTCTCCCAACTACAACATCCATTATCTCTCTCTCGATGCAATATTGTACTCGACGGCATTGCGGGGATCGAATATCACTCTTCATTGATTGTGGTTGGGGGAAAACAAAGGCATGCGGACGTATTTGGGAGTAAACAAACGCACGAGGTGCGCACAAAGCAGACGAACTTGCACGACATTTTAATCAAGAACCGTGCGGGATTGTGGATCGCCAATCTTCATTGTGCTTAAAAAAATTCAAAAAGTCACACAAGCACTGTGCTACCTTTCAAGCGTGCAGCGTGGAACGTATTACATCCTTCAGTGCTTACAATGCGACACTCCATGAGATCCGCAGACTTATTTTCTAAAGTTCATGTGCCAGTTTCATGTCAGGAATACCCGCATGCAGATGTACGTACTATGGTCTACAGAAATATCTAAAGCAATGCGATAATGAAATCAAAGGGTGTCGTTAATACGTGAATTGATTAAGCTTAATTTTTCGTTTCTGCAAAAATAAATATACAGATACGCTATATTCTTCCTACGATTAAACATCCAGGTTAAAACGTAAAAATAAAAAAAAAATGTATACAATGAGGGAGAGTTAAGGCCCGTTCACACTTTTGCGACCGACTCCGACCGAGAGAAACCAGACCGGTTTTTAAGCCTTTTGCGACTTCTCAGGACCGGATGCGATGCAGCGGAGCTGGCCGTAAGAGATCGCAAGAGGCTTAAAAACCGGTCTGGTCTCTCTCGGTCCAACTCGGTCGCAAGAGTGTAAACGGGCCTTTACGAGCACGGTTCCGGTTCGCGGTTACGTTAAGAAAAATAAGATGCAACTATAAATGCCACCAAATAAAAAGGTTGGTCGATGTTGAAAGGGAAAACCTGGCAACCAGCGTTTCACAAAGAGGCTATTAGCAAAGCACCGGCTGTCCTACGGCTCGAGGCTGCCGGTAGGCTCCTCTGAGAAACAGTTGGGGAGGATTCCGAGAACAACCTGTATACCTACGCAAGTTATTGGGGAGCTGTAACGTGCGAGAAACGTCCTAGAATACCGCATTGTAGAAGTCCCTGCTCGTATACGAGAATATTATACTGCCAGCTATGCACTTTGAAGACCAATCATCTGCTTCCTCGTGATGTTTTAACCAATGCGAATGACGAGCGGTATCGCGCTTCAATCAGCGGCAAAGGGAGTTTGCTTCACTTCCACTAAGACGGCATACCTCTGCTCCTTAATGGCTACACTGATTGAAACAAAGTCAATTATATTACTGTTACAAGTCCGTCGACGTGCAGAATTCACAAATTAGCTTCCAAAACTGTGGAATGAGATCGTTATTATGAAGCTTTCGTTCCTCGAACTTCGTCAGCTCAGGGACCGACTGAAAACAGCAGACACTTAAATGCCCACAGATATCCAGCGCCAACTCGTAAACTCCGCCTATAGCCGAACAAACAGCGATCGGCCTCTCAATCTCTGGAGGACACTCGTCGACGCCCTTGCCTGTTGTCCGCACCAGGCGTGCATCCGCTCGCGTGCCGGAGGTTAGCGTCGCACGGCGTTCCATTAACTGGATGGAGTGTTTTGCCGTCTGCTGCGGGGGGTGCCGAGACTCCGCCGGCGCATTCTCACACCGATAACGGCCGCCTCGAACCTTCTCCGAGCAACTCCGCTGGAAGGAAGGAAGCGTGTTTGTTTGTTGGCTTGTCCTCCAAGCTGTTTGTTCGAGCCCACATCCAAGTGTTTTTACGGGTTATCTCGCCGCCGTATATCTCACCTTAAACTCTTTCAAATATCGAAAGTGGCGGTCGGCGGAAGTGGCCTGAAGGGGGAGCTCTCGGGGCTGAAAGCATTTTTACGTAACAAAGGCGCGCTACTTTGTTGGCTATCTTTTTTCTTATATGTGCGTGTGTGTGACCATTTCGAGAAAAACAGATTATATCTCGATATAACGTGTTTTTCTCTCGTTCAATTTTATCGAACTAACGCGTGAATTGAAACTCCCAAATAGTGAAATTGAGAGCAAATCGGCCATCTCATTTGTTTTCGCACTCTCAGAAGTCCCTGAACTTATATACACTATAGAATCGAAAACATCGCTCAATATTCCTTCTTGAATCAGCATCAACCACTGTTTTACCCGTTGGATAATGATACCGACCTCTCTTTTCTTTGAATAAGCTGGTTACAAGAAAGGGCCAATTATCGGGGTTCCGTGTATCGTGTGGGGCATTACGCACCCTATAGAGCTTCTGAATGTACACGTTACACGGCATCTTTCATGATCAGGTGCGTTATTCGTTATATTTGTATTATACACTGGTCACTTAATAAAGTCTAATACAATTTTAATAGGCGTTGATCTCAAACATGGTAAAAGCGTAGCCACTTTACATCGTATCAGAAGGAACACTCAATATTTTCCTGTTTTGCTTCTACTTGGCAGGTTGCTGGAGGTTATAGAACCGTTCAGCTATAAGACCACCCCTGGAATAATTCCACTGATACGTAGTATAAGTGTATCTCGTTTGTCAAAAGAGGCAAGGTGCGTTAACCACAAGTATCGCTCGCAGAACTTTCTGGTTTATACAGCTTTTATTCAATATTGAACTTGTCAATGACAACTGAAGCTGTAAGGTTCGTAACTTTATTTCACTGACAAAAAATAAAAAGAATAAAAAAAAAAGATCAGCAACTTTAGAGCACATTTATATAGAAGTACTACCAAATTGTATCCAAACAATATATTTTCAAGGCAAAAATTTGTTCGACGAATACCTTGAAAGGTCCGTGGTAATACTGTTTTGCCAGCTACAACAAACAATACAAAAATTAAAAAAAATGTCTACCTCAAGAAAGGGCTTTGAACTGCTTGCTGTCTTATGGTCCTAGATTTACGTAGAAACATTCCTTTAGCGCACGTAGATACAAACATGACAAGAACAACACATTGCGCTGCTTCAAGCGTCTGCAGTCATCTGAACCAAGTTTACAAAATAAAAAAAAATAAAAAAACACGTCGTGATCTTACTGCAAGCAGCCGTCGCTTACTGTTGTTTACTATATCTTATTTTTTTCTGTATCATCGTTCAGATCAAGAAACGTTTAAAATTGAAGCAAATGTCTGAAGTGTATGTTAGCTGAATTGAAGCGGTTTTCATGGCTACTATTTGAGGACGTTATAGTGTGGATCTACAGAGTTTGCATGGTTCGATTCTTTTTGATTAGATGCGTCGCTGATTTTATTTCAAAGAAATATAAGTCTGTGTTCCAGTATAGATCGCAAGGCCAATTATTCTCATCTGCGGTGAGATGCCGGGCAAATGACAAGAATGCAAAACTAGTCTAAACCTTGAAGTGAATGTATTTATTTATTTGCGTGAAA